ATGATGTTGTATTCACTCAATGATGCAATTTTGCGATATTTAAATTTTGAATAAAAAAAAAAAAAAACGGTTACGCTGCGTTCCGCCATGTTATTTTTTTTCCTTTCTCGAATTTAAATTTTTATTTTTATGTCGATTATTATATTCGTGACTTGAAAACACGCGTCCTACCTATTATTACCAACCAATCAATTTTTTTTTTTTTTCGTCAAAAAAATGTTTAAAAATAAATCTTGCGAGTTTTATTTGATTGTTGTTATTGTCAATAATAACAACGTAACAACCGATGTACGAACAAACAAACAAACAACAAACAAGCGGCTCGTCCGACCGCACGACGGTATCGAAAAAAAAAAAAAATTTACAATTTACTAAACATTGTAAAAAGGTCACGTCGGAAAAAAAATTAAATAAAAAACAAAATGGCGACCGTTAATAATTTTTATCATTATTATTATTCTATCTCCTTTTCATTCTGTTTGGTGATTCGCGACGGATATTGTCGTTGGAAAAACAAAAATGGAGATAATGAAAGAGAAAAACCGTTTGGAAAATAATTTTTTTCGCCTTCTCTTTCGGGGTAAATGCGAAAATAAAATTTAAAAAAAAAAAAATTTCTTCTGCTTTTAAAGAAAAAAATGGGATGGGAAACGGAAACGTACGCGATGTTATCGATAAAAGAAAATTCTTTGTACGCCGCGTTTTTTTTTTTTTTTTTTTTTTTTGATGAAAAATGATAATTTCGTTTGAAAAAAAAATTTTTTTCTGTATGAAAAGTACGAAAAAAAAAAACGTAAACGTGTAAATAGATCATCATCGAGTTGTTCTAAAAGTTTTTTCGGGGATAAACGTGGCACTAGAATCTTCGTGAAAATACAAAAAAATTATTATCGAAAATTGTTGAAATTTGTACGTTCGCCCGCGTTTTTATTTCAAATAATTCATTTTAAATTTTTTTTTTTTTTTTTTTTGGTTTTATCGCGTCATTGTTTGCATAATCGCCATTAAATCTTTTAATTATGATAATAATAATAATATTAAATCGTCAAATATCTACGAAAATAATAATAATAATGATAAAAAGACGTTAAATAAAATCCACCATTAAAAGAATTAATTTTTATTTGAAGTAATAAAAGAAAATAAATCCGGGAAGATTATTCATTTGTTTGTTTGTTTGTTGTTTGCTCGTCTGTTTGTTTGCACGTTAATCTATCACAGTTTTATAAACGAAGAAAAAAACAAAAAAAAAAAAATTATAAAGATGGATAAAATGTCGGCCTTATAAAAATTAACACGTTATCATCAATTTAAATTCGCGATAAGTTTGAAAATAACGCGGCGTTTCCCCCCCCTCGTACAAACGGTAAAACCTGTGATGATGGTACGCGTGTGAAAAAAAGAATAATGATAATAATTACGCCGGCGTTATTATAAATAAATTTGTATAAAAAGAAACCGTTCGAATCGTTTCACAATAGATTTTTTCTTTCTGCCACGTTTATTCTTTTTTTTTTTTTTTTTTTTTTTTTTTCCGGTTTAATGAATTTCTCGTCCCGATTAACCGGCGGCGAGTTTTATAAACCGTTTCTTTTTTTTTTTTTTTTTTCTATTTTTTTTATTGGATTTTTGTAATGTAAATACTTATTATTATTATTATTATTATTATTATTATTATCATTATCATCGTCGTTTTTTCGAATGAAAATTAAAAAATAAAAAATTAATTAATTTTTTATTATATCGAGTTTAAAGCATACGAGAGAGAGAGAGAGAGAGAGAGAAAACAATTTTGAAATTATCAAACGGTATTTTTTTCTTTTTCTTTTTGAAATTAATTCCCTCGGTCATTTTCATTATTATTATTATTACTATTATTATTATCGTGTTAAACGTTATCAATTATTACATTTTTTTTGCGGTTGTAAAAAAAAAGCCAAAAAAAAAAAAAATTTTTGTCGTCGAAATTGAAACTCATTGAAATTAAACTTTATGAAATGAAAAGAAAAGAAATATTATTATTATTATCACTCATAATGGCGACAATTCGTCTAGATGTTTGTCGGATTGTTTTCAATGTATAAACCAGGTTTCTACCCGATCATCCCTAAGGAGAATAAATGCCTGAATATCAGTGATGATACTGTATGCCTGATGGATAAGTTTCGTATTGTTATAACCTATGACGTCACGACAAAACTCATAAGAGTCTTCCTATCATATTCGATGGGAACGAGTTATCCTCTGGGTACTCCTGGGCTCCAGTGATGACTGACATCTGTGGTGTGGAGCCAGGAACAGGAGAATAAGACAACATAACGAGATTTGCCTTTTGGTTCTTCTGTCCTTATCTTGTTTTCATTTTGCCCTTATACAATTATGAATGAGTCATCATGCAATCTTTCCAAAGTACTACTTCAATACTTAATTTTCCTACTATTTCCCCCTTTCATAATTTTCCCTCATGCATTCCATCGTTAATGTTTACAAATTATAATTTCGTACCTCTAAACTCTTAAGTAATCCGAAGACAGTTTTGAATTTTTCTAATCCTAATTGAAATTTTACATTAAACACATGGCAAAATATGTTATAATGAAACAAACTGACTTAATAAAAGGGCTAAAGTAATGCACAATCAATACAGATTGACACTTAAAAACAGAAGCATAAAGATTTTATGTCCACCTGATACAATAAATTAATTAATATCAAGTATTTATAATAAACTACCTCCTTCATTTTTATTTAGTGCGACAGGAGGTATTTAGCTCAACTACTTATAATCACCTCAAGAGATACAAAACAATTATTAAATGGATTTTGTTTTGTCTGTTTGCATTATTCCTTACACTAAAATCAATCATTTTATAAGCTACTTGATTTTTGATGCAGATTTATGAAAGTATAACACTGTCAATATGATAAACTATGTTGTAATGAGACAGGCAAACTAACTCAAGAAAAGGTTTACCAACCAACAATCAGTAATTAATTAACGCTTAAAGATTAGAGAGTATAGAAATTTGCACACTCTTGTTAGTTATATACCATAATTTTTGGCAAGTGAAATTTAAATCTTAAAATGAGGTACTTACCCCTTAACAATCAGATGTACTGAGGCATCTTCCAAGGTTAGTCACTGCCCACGCTTTCTATTGTTTCACGTGACAAACCGTTTTGTGACGTGACCGTTGACTATTCCGTAAATTTAAACTGAAAATAAAAAAAAAAAAAAAAAAAACTAATTATATCACAATAAACTAAATTCAATTAAACAAAACTTTCGATATACATAACTTATAATTAAAATGATAAAACTATTAAAATTAATTTAAATAAGTTGACGATGGTTGCACTCTCGCACCCTCCTCTTCTTCCTTATTATTATCATTATTATTATTATAAAATATCGATTTGATTGATTAAGAGTTACGAGAGAGAGAGAGAGACGATTATTCAAAAGGTTTCCATTTTTTTTTTTCCCCCCTTCCAAATCCTCTTAAGTATAATATTTAAAGCGGTGGCACGAGAGTTTGAAAAACCATTTATTATTATTATTATTATTATTGTCGTGTAACCTGCAATTTGTGTATGGTATCGTGGAACTAACCGTACTCATTGTGTGTCTTTTAAATAATACGAATTAAAATCGATACGCGGATTCTTTCGCAATTAATTTTTTTCTTTTTTTTTTCCTTTTCTTTTTATTTTTCGCGGTGAAAATTCAAACCGGATGTTGTTGTTCTTTCGGCGATACTCGTTTCGATATAAATATGAAGAGATCGGTAGCGAAAACGAAAGAAATAAAAAATTATTATTATTAATTTTTTTTTTTTTTTTTTTTTTCATTTCTTAAGAATAATATACTATCGGGGATAGTAATAGTAATAATAATAATAATAATGAATTACGTGGATGGATGGATGGATGGATGGATGAATGGATGGATGAAACGGAAATGATTTCGATTCTCCATCGCGCGGCGGGAAAAACAAATTTTCCCACAATTTATAACCGTCAAATCGGAAAGAAAAAATTTATTTGCGATATAACAAACGAATCTCTCGTTTGTCTGGATTTTTTTTTGTTTCCCCTTTACGAATGGGGGTTGAAAAAAAAAAGTGCACAAGAAAATAATAATAATAACAAATAATAATAATAATAATGATATTGATAGTAATAATAATAATAGCGTTTGCAGATCGTTTTCGAAAATATCAGATGGAAAAAAATTTCATTTTATTGATTTATTATATTATTATTATTATTATTATTATTATTATTATTATTATTATTATTAGTATTATTATTACACAAAAATTACAATCGAAATCTTTTATTATTAGAAAAATGACGTCATAAAAAAAGAAAATGCAATTCAAGATTTTTTTTTTTAATCAAGTAGATAAAAGTTTATCCTTTTTCATACCTCCTCTCTCTCTCTCTCTTCTCTCTCTCTCTCTCTTCACTCTCTCTCTCTCTTTCCTTTCTCTTTCTCTACCTTTTTTTTCTCTCTCTCTCTCTTTCCGTTTGTTTCTCTTTCTCTGCCTCTCTGGGTCTCTGGCTCTTTCTCTCCCTTCCTCCCTCTCCCTCTTTGTCTCTTCCTCTCTCTCTCTCTCTTCTCATTCACCTTCTACATCGATACATCGAAAAAAGTAAAAACACGTATCGAATCGAACACGTATCGATATCACAAAAAAAAAAAAAATTTTTTTAAATTTTATATTAATGACGATTCGAAAATGAATGAACAGGTTTCCGGTTTTATTTATTATTATTATTAAAAAAAGTGTTTTTATGTGTTTTCTAGAAAAAAAAAAATTTTAATTTACATTTCAGGTTGAATAATCGATAAACCATTTAATACGAGAAGACGACAACGACAACAACCACAACCACAACAAGAACAATTCAAAAAAAGAAAAAAAAATTGGGTAAAATTGTTTGGTAATCCATCATGAGGATTAAGCAATGGCAAATCCTAATTCAAAAGCGCTCTACTCAACATGCGTTGCCTGTTTAGGATTTGTTTGTTTTGCCGTCGGAGCAACCGCTGTCGGACTTCCTCTTTGGGGATATTTTGAAGATCCGGGAGGTAATTTTTCCTGTTTTCTTTTATTTTTGACTAAACCACCTATGCGCGCGACTATAACCATTAATAATGTTTTGGTTGTCGAAATTAAATTGAAGAGAGGAGAGGAGGACGTACCGGAAGTGATTACGAATTAAAAATTTTCCCGATCGTTTTTTCATTTATTTATTTATATCATCGACAGCAAAAACGATGAGCGTACAAAACTACGACAAAAATCCCCCTGTTTTTTTAACATTTCGGTACGTAAAAAAAAATGCGGTTTTGCCTTAAAAGGAACTATTACGATTATCATCATCATCATCATCTTTGAAATCTGTCATTAAATTAACCGTTTTTATTTTTAAAAATTTTTTTCATTTCGCGAAACCGTTAAATTTTTTTTTTTTTTTTTTTTTTTTTTGTAGCCGCAATTAGAATAATCTGTCGCATATTTGAAATCGTAACGAAAATTTCACGTTTTTGTCGTTTGTTCGAATGTAAATAAATAGATAAAAAAAAAATTTTTTTAATAAATAGAAAATCACGACAAAAGGTTTAAAAACCGTGAAAAACTAACGAGTTCGAAAGTACGAAAATGGCGGCGACGCCCAACGATATCGAGGGTAAAAAAAAAAAATAGGAAAAAAAATGAGTGAGGCGAAAGAATTGTTATCATCATCATCATTATTATGTACGTAACAATGTAATTGATCCGCCATATTGAATTTTTCATTAGCCAAAAAAAAAAAAAGAAAAAAAATTCGAAATAACTGTTTGGATAACGTTTCGAATAATCATCATCATCATCATCATCTCCGTCATCTCCGTCATTATTAAACCCACAACTAAAAAAGGCAAAAAAAAAAAAAAAAAAAAAAATAATAATAATAATAATAATAATAATAATAATAATAATAATAATAATAATAATAATAATGTTTTTTCGAGTTATCGAACGACGAGATTCTCGAAATAAAATAAATCGAACGTTTACAATTTTTAAACTCGTTTTCTTTTTTTCTGTAAAAATTAAATTAAAAAAAAAAAAAAATGGGGGGAAAAGTTAGAAAAAAAAAAAAAAACTCGTTTAATTCGAATTATCGATTTTATATCGATTCTATCGTTTATTACGAATAAATTCGATTTATCATATCGATTATTATCGAACGTATTATCATCTCCGTCGTCGTTTCCAATTTAGATTTTTTTTTTAATTTCACGAATGAAAAAATTATTTTGGGAAATTTATTTTCATTCATCTTTGGAAAAAATCTCAAATCCCCCTCTCTCTCTTTCTCTCTCTTTTTTTTTTGGGGGGGGGGGGTACGGAAATGTTAAAGATAGAGAGAGAAAGAGAGAGAAAAGGGTTGAGCGAAATTTTTCGTCAACTGGACGAAAAAAAAATTAAATCGATAAGTTTTTTTTCTGGGGATTAATTTAATTTTCGCTTCGCTGATGATTTTTCTTCTAACCGAATTTCTTGTGCCTCCTCCCCCGCCCCCCCCGCTACCCCCCTTTCGACTTTGCGCTCCTCCTCACTCACCACTTCTCATTGCCCCTCACTCATTCACTCACATCCTGTCCGTTTCCGCTTTGATACAAAAAAAAAAATTTATTGAATAACTTTCACGATTCGATTCGATTCTCGATTTTCGATTTTCGATTATCGAACTACCTATAACAAACAACAACAACAACAACAACAACAATAACCACAACAATGATGATGACGATGAGGAATTTTTTTTTAATCAAACACTCAAAGTCGTTGTCGTTCCCCCATCCCCCTCCTTATGTATGGCCTAAGGTGAAGAGAAAGGGGAAAATATGGGAGGGGAGGGAAGGAATCGAAAGGGAATTTTGACGTGGCATCAAAATTAAAATATTATTTTTATTATTATTATTTTCATATCACGAACCGTTTTTTTTTTTTTTTTTTTTTTTTTTGGTAACCACCGTCACTGCTTCCGTCACAGTGATTGATGACGTCATTCATTTTTCTATTATCAGTTATCTTTTATCATTATCGAACGTTCGTTATTTAAACTCCGTCATTTTCTTTTTGACTTTTCCAAATAAAAAAAAAAAAATTATTTTTACGACGCGATTCGTCTTTCCGCATTTCGTTCCGGAAAAAGAAAGAAAAAAAGGGACAAATTCGACCGAATTGTAATTTTTTTCTTTTTTTTTCTTTCTTTCTTGACATTTTCTCTTGAAATTTAATTTTTCTAAGAATAAATAACAAATAAAGGTGAAGTTGTTTTTTTTTTTTTTTGGCAAGATGGCGGACGATTAATTTCTTTTTTTTTTTAAAACCGAAAATTAAAAATAATTTTTTTTTTGTTTTTTAATTCTAACCACGTCACTCTCTCTCTCTCTCTCTTTTTCCTTTTCTTTCATTCTTTTTTTCTCTCTGTGCGTCTTCTCTGTATCTCTTTGTTTCTCTGACTTTTTCTCTCTCTCTCTCTCCCTCTTTGTGTTTATTCCCTTTTTCTTTCATTTTTTCTTTTTCTTCTTCCTTTCTCTCTCTGTTTTCTGCCTCTTTATCTTTCTCTTCTTCTTCTTCTTTTCTTTGTTTATGTTTCTGTCTTTTTCTTCTATTTTTTTCTCTACTAGCTGTCTTTTTCTTTTCGTTTTTCTTTTTCTCTATATGTCTAGTTTCGCTGACTTTTTTCTCTCTCTCTGTTTTCCTGTTTTTTTTTTCTTTTTTTCTATTTCTTCCTTCCTTCCTTTTCTCTCTTTCTGTTTTCTATTTCATTTTTTCTTTCTCTCCATCTTATTTTCTTTTTTTTTCTTCCTCCTTTTCCTCTCTCTCTCTCTACCTGTCTTTCTTTGCTTTTTTCTTTCTCTCTCTGCCGTTACCTTTTCACTTCTCTTACATTTACTATTTACACACACACTCTCACACATACACAATTCCTCATCATCACATGACCTGACACAAATACATCCAACAACAAACTCATTTCTCTATTTAATCATCAACTTCGCAAAATTTAAGTTAAGAAAAACGACCGGAAATGACGCAATTCATAGCTCATATCGTATTTACGCGAGTACGTACTTCCTCTCTCGCGATATTTTCTTTATTTTATTAGAATATTTATTCTCCCTTCCAATCAATTTTTTTTTTATTCGATTCCAAAGGAAAAAGGAAACCCTTCGAGAAGGAGGAAAAGGAGAAAGAAGAGTAGGAGTAATAGTAATAATAATAATAATAAAAGTTTTAAAAAAATCCCTCGCTCGCGATTCGAACTTTTACGATTACGTTTTTGTTCTTTAATTAAAAATTAGTTTTTTTTTTTTTTCTATTTAATTCCGTGATAATAATAAATATGGCGGAGACCGCCTGTAGTGATAACGCGCGTGCGCGTACGCGTACCCGATTCGGGTAATAAAAAAAAAAAAAAAAAGAAACGAGGCATTCATTTTTTTTTATTGTTATGAAATCGTTGTCGTCGTCCCCGCCCCCCGCGGTGGCACAATAAATTTTTTTTTTTTAATACATTTAAGGTGTTTGTAATAATGATAATTAATAGGTCAGAAGGTCATTTTCTTATTCGTCGCGAAACTTTTATTATTATTATTATCACGGATCGAAAGGTGTTCGTACAGGAGGTAGAATGTAAATCCAACGAATTTTTTTTTTTTTTTTCATTCGCGGCCATGATATTTTTTCCGTTCGTGCATTTAGATCATTTCTATTTACACGTTAACGTTTTCTTCGTATACGATCCGATTACGTACGACGTCCGTCGCGGACTTTCCGTTTACGAAAGATTAGTTTTTTTATTATTGTTTATTTTTATTTAAAAAAAACTGGAAGCTGGAGTATTAATAATATTTCGAAATCTTTTCCAGTGATATATCGAATTAAAAACTGGAAAAAAATTTGAAGAGTCACGAACGATCAAAAAATTTTTATTTTCCATTCTGTCGAATGAGATTATCATTAATTTTACCGTTACCGTCTTGTAAATTATCCATAATCTTACTCGAATTTTTTTTTCTCTCTCTCTTTCTTCCTTCCCTTTCCCTCTCTCTCTCTCTCTCTCTCTGTTGCGTATCCCTTCGTTATTTCCGCGAGACACATTTTTATAATTGGCGAAATTTGATTCTCCTGGAAAGTAAGTAACGGGATCGATCGATCGATGGATCCCATACTACCAACGCACTTTTTCCTTCTTCTTCTTCTTCTCCTGTTCCCTACGGATTTTTTTATTGGGAAAAACGCATAACGTTCCGCCATTTTGAATTCGAACAAATGAATTTTATTTCGGTTAGTTGTTGGTAGCAGAAGAAAAAGCAGAAAAAATGTCGAGTTTGATTTTTCCCTTTTAATCCCTTCCAAAAGGAAATAAAGATGGTGACGATGATGATGATGATGATGATGTTGGTAAATAAATCAGTAAGTGAATTATTATCATCATTATTATTATTTATGTTTCAGGTCGAATAATTCGCGAGACGGGATATTTTGGACCATGGCAAGTGTGCAAAAAACTTCCCTACAATCGAGAAAAATGCGGTACGGAAGCCAACACGTTCGAACCCATAGGTGAGTGCGTGCGTGACTGCGTGAGTGAGTGCGTGTCTGCGTTAAAATTACGTTCGCGAACTGATTTTTTGATTCTCTTTTCTTTTTATTTTAGCGGCCGTGTATTTTGCTGGAATCGCTGCCGCGTTCGGCGTGACATTCCTCGGTCTTTTCTGCATTTTGAGCGTCGTTCAAATGGCGATGGTCACGCAAAAGGACAAAGTCATGATAAAATATTCGAGATGCGTCGCCATAAAACTAGTTTTAGCTATTTTATCAAGTTAGTACTTAAAAAATTTCTCATCGCGACACGGATTCGATCCTCCCTCCCATTTAATTAATGTTATTATTATTATTTTTCTTTAGCAATTCTTGCCATCGTGTCAGCAGGTTTGTTCGCTCTACAAACAGATGACCGAAAAAACAATTTTCGTATAACGCGGGGAGAATCTTTCTACCTCCAGGTTTGCACACACACACACATTGTTTAAAATTCTTTCTTTTTTCTTTTTCGTTTTTAATTTTATCTTTTTCTTTTTCTTTTTAGATTTTGTTAATAATATTAAATTTTATATTATTCGTGGCTTCCTTATACGATTTTTTATTTTCCCGAAGATTGGGAGGTGATCCGACAATGGCGACGAGAGATCCCGGAGGCGAAGCCGCGACAACTTATAACAATCCACATTTTCGAGAGGATTCAAATAAAAATCACGGTGAATTTTTTTTCCTATTATTTTCTACGTAAACATTATTATTATTATTATTATTATTATCATTATTATTATTATTATTATTATTACTGTGTGCAAACAAGAGAATGAGAGAGAGAAAGAGAGAGAGAGAAAGAAAAAAAAAATTATTTTTTCAGGTGTGTGTGAATCAGGTGTTAATTGATTAAAATCACTCGCGCGTCCAAAAAAAAAAAAAAAAAAAAAAGAAAATATTTAAATAAAGACTCACGTGATCATACACAATAATAATAATACTAATAATAATAATAATTAAATTCCAAAACTTAAAAAAAAAAAAAAAAAAAAAATTACGTGTGGATACCTCGACACGTGTTTGATATCTGATCGTTAGTAACATTCGTAAGGGAAATTTATAAGGACAGGGAAAAAAAAAAAATTACGACGGGGAAAATTTTAAAGACAGGGAAAAAAAAGAAAAATATTGCAGGGAAATTTTTTAAAGATGGACGAATTTCGCGCGCGTAAACAATAATAACAACAACAACAACAAGGCGAACATGAGAAATACAAAGTAAGGGAAATTTTTTTTTTTTTATTTTACGAAAAAAAATAAATTCGATATTTTCTTTTCCCTCACCCCTCTCCTCCCTCTACGTCGGTAGCCATTTTGAATAATTATTTAAAGATCTAATTTTAATTACGATTTTGAATTTATTCGTAAAAACATTTTTTATTACCATCGAATCAATATCATTAACACCTTTTTTTATCATTTAATTGATTAATGCCCTTGTTTGAAAAGCAAAAAAAAAAAAGAAGCAAAGATCAAATTAATTAACACGTCAGGTAGTCATGATGAGTAAATAGACAGAAAAAAAAAAAGAAAAATTTGATTAGTGTCAGTTAGTTGTATTTTGCACGTGAATAATCGCGGACGTAGACAGCCGGGATTCAGGGGATTCGAGAAAAAGAGGAGGAAAAAATGAAAACAATAAAAAAATACATAATGAAATTTTTTTTTTTAAAAGGGATTTCAATGACGGATGCAAGCGGTAAACCATACGCGAGATCTCCGACGTATAACGGATCCCTGGCATCGGTGACGACGATGACGACGACGACGAGCAACGGGTCGTCGGTCACGAGATCACCGTTGAGATCGAGTTTGAAAAAACCCAGGCCGCCGCCGGGAGATTCATCCCTCGGGATACACAATCCGGGATTCAGTCAAGGGAGTCCGACGATGCAAAGAAACGGAAGCGTTAAAAAAGTCAGAATACAAACTCACAGCACGGCCGTTTAAAAAAAAACCGCAACAAAATGGAAAAGCAGAAGAAGAAGTGAGAGTGAGACAGGAAATAAACTAGTCTTTTGTTTTTTTTTTCTTTTTCTTTTTTTACGCGATAAAAGGCGTTTTTTTCCGCGTCGTGTGAGCGACCAAAAAAAAAAAAAGTAAAAACCGGATTGAAACGTTTGAAATTACATCCGTCGTTTAAAATGTGACAAACATTCCATTTTTTTTTTTTTACAAAACGAACTCGAAATAAATGAAAAGAAAAATGTTTTATTATTATTATTATGTGTGATTTATCAAAATGGACTCGTTCGAGTGAGAAAGAGAGAGAAAAAAAGAAAGAGGAAGAGAGAGAGAGAAAGAGAAGAAAAAGAAGAAAAATTTTTTTCCAAACGTTTTTCATCATCATCATCATCATCGTCATCATCATCATCGCCATCGTCATCGCGATACGTTTGTTAAGTTCATCGTAAAAGCTTTATGCCACCCTCCTTTCCCTCCCCATCTCCCTCCTCCTCCCCCATATTCACAACAAAATGTTTGTTTCACATCATCAACATCATCAACATCATCATCACCATCATCACCATCATTATTATTATTATATAAATAAGAAAATAATTATATATATATATATATATTTGTTATTTATATACGCACGCACCCACGCACCCGCGCACGCGCACACGCATTCAATTTTATATATATATATATTTATATGTAAATAAAAAAAAAAAGAAAAAATTAAAAAACTATTAATTATTATTATTATTATTAAAAATTATTTACGACGTTTATCACGATGAGTTAAATATTGATTTGAAAAATGTCAGAGAACCAAACAAGCAAATCAACAAACAAAACAAACAAAGCAAAACAAAACAAACAAAAATGGCGAACGCAATAATAAATAAATAAATAAATAAATAAATTGTGTTATATATATATATATATATATATATCCGTCCATATTTATAATTAATCAAATTTTTTTTGTGATCCATTTGTTTTTATATATATATTTATATATTATTTAATATTGATGATTCTTTTGTTGTATATTATTTTTTTTTGTTAAATATTTATATATCAATGTCCAATAATTCGTGCAAACGCATATTATTATTATTATTATTATTATTATTTAAAAGCCTTTTTTTAATAATTAATGTAAAGAAAAAGAAGAAGAAAATGAAGAAGATGAAGAGATGAGAATTATGACATAGATGCAGTGAGAATTGTTATTTTGACAATTTTTTTTTTTTTTATTTGAGTTAACAATAATAATAATAATAATAATGATAATGATAATATAATAAAATTCGAATTTCGTTTAGTTTTTGTTTTCATTTACGTCGTTTCCGGTAAAATTTTTTTTTTTTTTTTTTAAATGAAATAAATAAGAGAAACGCGAAATAAATAAAATTTTAATAATAATTTTTTTTTTTAATTATATCATTATTATCATTATTATTATTATTATTATTAATACGTTAGTCACGAGCTCTTCTTAATATTATTATTATTATTTTTTAAATAAAATTGTTATTATTATTATTACCATTGTTTTTTTTTTAAACAAAAAATCATTTTCCTTACAAAAAAAAAAAAAAAAAATTTAAAATAAAAATTTTTGGCGCTAAATTATTTTGTCAACAAATAAAAATATGAACGTGTAATTAGATAACGATCAAATCATTATCATTACTACTATTATTATTATTATTATTAATATTATTATTGTTTTTTTTCTCCTCACAAAAAAAAAAAAAAAAAATTTAAAATAAGAATTTTTTGGCGCTGAATTGTTTTTCGACGAATAAAAAAAAAAGAAAATAAATACGAACGTGTAATTAGATAACGATCAAAACATTACTATTATTGTTATTATTACTATTATTTTTTATTCTTCTTACGAAAATAAAAAAATAAGAAAAAATTTAAATAAAAATTTTTGGCGCGAAATCCTTTTGTCGACGAATTAAAATACGAACGTGTAATTAGATAACGATCAAAACATTTACTATTTTTATTATTATTTACAATTTAATATAAAATCGTTCAATATTATTTTTATTATTATTATATTACCTTATTATTATTATTATTAAAAATTAAAAATTTAAAATGACTGAGTTTAGTTCGGCTAAATTTAGTAACGTGACAATTTATAGAAAAGATTACACTAATAAAAACGTCTCAAGGTGATTAGTATTAGTAGTAGTCTTGGTAGTAGTCGTAGTAGTCTTAGTAGTCGTAGTAGTAGTGGTACTAGCAGAAGAAATTTATTTATTTATTTTTTTCCCCCCCCATTTTTTTTTAAAAGACCCGAACGAGTTAAACCGAGTCAAGAATATAAAGATCCGATAGCGGGACCGTACGAGGAACACGTTTTACCATATTGCAAATATAATCGATTACCGGAAACGAAAATACTAGAAACCGGATATCCGGAACCTAAGGAATATTCAAAAAAAGTTGTTGTCGATTTTTAATGTAAAAAAAAAAAAACAAAAAACACAATAACATAATAACTTGTTCGCGATTCGAGGGGAGGGAGGGAGGGGGTATGGGGAAGAAACGGAAGGGAAAATTTAACGATTTTTTTTAAAATTTTCTTTTTCAGGTATTAGAATTATGTCCGTCGTTGGAAATATATTTGAAAAAAGAATGCGGTGGAAATCCGGTGGATTTCGATATGATCGATAAAATTTACGACGATGAAAATCGAACCGTTTACATGATTTCATATTGCAAATTGAGTAATTTTCCCCTCCAAAATATTTTTTTTTTTTTTTTTTTGCGACGCCATTTTTTTTAACTATAAACTACTATTACGAAAAATTTTCCAGAGGATTTCGATTCGCACGTGAAAAGGGAAAGAACCAAAGGTACACTACCGGAAAATTGGGTCATACCTTTAACGACGCATAAATGCAGTTATAGAGATCCACTCGTTTTTGCAACGGATAATATTTATAAAATGAAAATATCACATCCGAAAGATAATTTATCACCCAATTGTAAGTTTCACATCATCAAAATAATCAAACCCATCGCCATTATTAACCGCCATCTTTTTTTCTTATTCTCATTTTCTAAAGTCAAAGAACGTGAAATATTAGAAACGAAAACTGGAGAAACGATTTACATGTCTGATATTGGTAATACTGGACAAGAAATTATCGATGGTAAACTTCATGGAGATATTAAAATGAAAACGAGAAAATACGATCAAGATGATTTATTAAAATCAAAATTAATAAGAATCCAATAAGAAAATTATTTATTTATCATTTCGAAATTATGTATTATCGATAATAATAATAATAATAATAATAATAATAATAATAAATTTTCATTTATTTTATTTAAAAGCGGAATTTTCTTTTTTTTCTTACGGGAATTTTCTTTCTCTCTCACACGCACTCACTCCTCCTCCTCCTCCTCCTCACGAAATTCTAAACAGTAACGAAAAAAAAAACAAAAAATAGACCAAAACAAATGAAATTTTTTCCAAGTAAACAAAAACACGGCCGCCATATTGCCAAAAAAAAAAAAAAAAAAACAAAAACAAAATGTACGAAACGTAACGATGACACGTCGGAATTTTATTTAATAATAAACAATTTTAGGTTAACGACAACAACAAAAAACAAAAAAAAATAAAAAAATTTACAAGTAATTAATTGAATGGAATAAAAAAATTTTAATAATTATTATTTGGGGGAGGGGGGGACCAATTAATAAAAAAACCAAAAAAAAAAAATGGTAAAAAATTAATTTTGGAAAAATTAATAAAAAATTAAAATAATAATAAAAATAATAAAATTTTTTCGGTAAGTTTTACGATAATTTTTTAATAATAATAATAATAATAATATTTCCTTATTCTCACGTATATCATCATCATTATCATCATTATTATTATTATTCGTTAGGTTTAAAAAAAAAAAAAAAAAAAACAAATAATTTTGGAAAAATTATCGAGTTGACATGGAACCCTATAAATCAGTTTATCAAAGCGATTACACGGACCCAAATGCAAATAATAATCAACAGGGGAGGTATAAATCCTTTTTTTTTTTTTTTTCCAATAACCTTTCCACCAATGAATGAATGAATGAATGAATGAATGAATGAATGAAAGTGTATCGATGACGTATACATATCAAATTGTCCACCATTAAATTTTTTTTTTTTTTACATTAACCAATGATTTTTGTCTCTTTTTGTTGGGTTTTATGGTGACAACAAGACGATCGTAAATAGGCGATTCCAGAAATTTTATTAATAATAATAATAGTAATAATAATAATAATAATAATTATAATGTCTCGGGTTTTGGATAAATTTCGATACGTGTCGACGTACAAGAAAGATTATTGCGGTCGGGCTTTATCAATTTGGTTCGTACAAAAATTTATCATTGATAAAGGTACCACTACTGGTACCACTACCAGTACCAATACCTGCGAAAAATGAAACGTTTTTTTTTTTAGGGAGGTGGGAAGCGATGCGAGAGATGCGGCCAAAAATTGTAATAAATAATTTTTTTTTTTTTTTTAAATTAAATTTTCCCGAAAAAAAAAAAATTTATTTAAATTAAAAATCATTTTGATAGATTGTAAAGGAAAATTCGTACCTGGAATCGCTTTAGAATTACCTAACGATATGAAACCGCATAAAAGATGTTGTTGCGAACCTGGAGGATACATGCCTCCGAGAGGTGGTAAGTTTTTTTTTTTTTTTTTTTCTGGTTCCTCATTTTGGGAAATCGAAAAAAAAAAAAAAAAAAAAAAAATGGACAACATTTATTGTTGTTAATTTTTATTTTTGTTATGATTATGAAAAACATTTTATAGCGATCGCAAGCGGCCTCCCGAACAATTTAAATTGCAAATGTATTTGTTTCGATAAAAAAAAAAAAAAAATTAAAGGACAAAGGAATTTAAATGTCGGAAATGTCATTAATGACTGCGGTGGTGAAAGACAAAAAGAGACAAGGGTCGACGTGAATGAGGAGGACGTGTCGTCTTATCATCCTCCTCCCTCCTATTATTATTATTACGTCATCGATGATGACATCGATGAAAATTTTTTTAAACGTAGTAAAAAAAAAAAAAAATTAAATGCCATTTGTAACGATCCTCATTTTGTTGGTATACGACCCATGCCGAGGGGAAAATTTGGTGGACAATTTGAAGGACCCTTAAATTTACCAATTAAATGGAAATAAATTTTTAAAAAAAATTTTTTTTGTTTTTTTCCACTCCTCACCCCCCCCCTCCCCCCGACGAATTGTTATTTAAAAGGAGAAGGAGCGATCCCTGTCGACCTCAACCTAATCCGACTGGTAGAATCCCCTGGCTTCAACCGAGAAGAGATGAAAGACGTGATCCGGATGTTGTCAATTTAAGAAGACATCGTGTCGTCGATGAAATTCAAGATATTGTACATGGAGAAGAGAGAAGAAGATTATACCCGACGCCGTGGGCCGCGAGAAGAGCTTCCGTGGGTGGGGAAACGCGTATACCCGGTCCCTTTTGGATGAGACCGAGACGAGACGAGAGAAGGGATGTCGATACAACGAGAAGGAGAAAATTTGACAGGACGCCGTCCGAAGTGAGAGAAATTATACACGGTGGCGGTGGCGGAAGAGAACGTCCGGGACCGAGAGGACGAGGTCGTAGAAGTTTTACTCCGTATTCGGAAGTCAAATACATCATACACGGAGGAGCGGGGAGAGGTACCAATGTGAGGCATCCGTTAGATATACCCCGTTTGTACAGAAGGAAAAGTTCAAATTCTCGAATACCCGGACCGTTTTGGCTTCATAACCGACCCGATGCCAGAAAGGAACCCGACGTTTTGAGAAAAAGAAAATTTACGATTTCAAACGAAGTGAGAGACGTGATACACGGAGAAGAAGAAAGAACGAGAAATAGATTAGCCGCAAGACCGGGTGTCCCATCAACGTCTCAGGGAGTCACGAGACAAAGTTCACTTCCGGTTTTACAACCCTTTTGGCTTTTACAACGTAGAGACGAAAGGAGAGAACCCGAATTCGATGAGAAAAGATTAGCGGGACGAGCGCGACACGAAGTAGCAGAAATCGTTCACGGTGATGATTTTCGTCAGCAGTGGTATCCCTCGACGAGCGGCGGAATGGATGATGAATCGATATTAGAAGAAGATTCGGATGATGACGATGACGGTGAATCGTTTAGATACAAAAGAGCATGCAAATGCGCTCCGAGACCGAGGGGACCAACGAGCGGTTGGGATTCGTTGACGCCGAGTGTAAGCGACTTGATGGGAAGAGAAGACGACTATGAAGCTTATTATCCAGAAGCCAGGCTAAGTTGTCCCCCCACAGCGGATACTTCTGGGTTTGATCAACCCAATACGTTCATGAGAAAGGTAACGGCGAAAAAAACAAATAAAAAAATTATTTTTCTTATTAACTTATTAACCCCTGATAAAAAAAAATTTTTTTTTTTTTTTTTTCCTTTCAAGCTCTATAAAAAATATCCCTACTTATATCAGATCCTTAAAGAAACTCCCCCCGAAGAATTGGTATCAAAAGTATTCAAAGATAGATTTTTATCAACTTATCAAGTGGATTATTTACACATGGGTAAGACCCCTACATATATATATTAAAAAACGTACGGCAAACAATAACAATAATAATAATAATAATTAACGACATTTTAAGGAGTCGGTAGAGGAACGCGCATGGGTGGAGGAGGTAGAGAAAGAGAAGAAATACTTTACGATGGTGACGATGAACCCGAAGCCGTACCGGGATGCTCATACAGGCGTAACACGAAAGGAGATTACGGAAGGAAAAAAACGGACTACAATAGAGAACCCAAAGAGGATGATTGTAAGGTTTATTAAATAATAATAATAATAATATTAAATAAGTAAAATAATTCGAATGTCTTTAGCGACGCCAACAAATGAAAAAACGGAAAAGGAAGAACCAAGAGTTAGCGAATATATGGGAACGGTCAGTCGACTCGGAGGTGAAATAGTAACCGATCAACTTTACAAAGTAGCCGAAATCACAAAAAAAATGAAAACTCAATATACTGGCCCGTAAAAAAAAAAAAAAAAAAAAAAAAAAACTAAACTAAACTAAACTAAAAAAACGGGTACCTATCGAACATTACAATTCCAATCTTCTCTAATACATATTCTTTTGTTATTCCAGTATGGCCGAAAATAAAAAAAAAAAAAAAAAAAAAAAAAAAAAAACAACAACAACAATAACAATAACAAAATTATAATTTTTTTTTTATGGAATTGTTAAATTCGTTAAAACGCGACAAATAAGACAAATTTTCATAACGACCTCCTACCTCTCTCCCCGTCAACACGCTCCGCCCCTTCTCTCCCCTCCACGTCAACACGCTCCGCCCCCTCCACCCCTCCCTCCTCCTCCTCCTTTTTTTTTTTTTTTTAATAACCGAAACGGAACAGGATATTGTTGTGTTTTTTAAGTTTGATGACGTCAAATGTCAAAAATAAAACGAAAGAATTAAAAAAAAATTTTGATTTTGTTCCAAACGAAATCAAAACGTGTTACTACCTCCTGTTTTTTTTTCAATTCCCTATCAACAGAAAAAAAAATTGATAACACGACGACGACGACGACTTCTTTATCCCTTGCGTTGGCATCTTTTACCAAAAAAAAAATTTTTTTTCCCCCCCGTATTAGAACGAATTACCTACGATTTGTTTAAACAAATTAAATATCATTATCATTATCATCATTATTATTATTTAAACTCCAGGCATTTATTTTTCGCAACAGATGAAATTTAAACAAAAATACACGTGGCATTATGCCAGAATAAAAATACTCTTGTGACGTCATTTTATTACCACCGGTTAAGGGATAGAATGATATATAATGTCTATTGAGTTACTTTCGTTTATTATTATCATTATTACTACTACTTTTTACAAATCTTATGTTCATTATTATTATTTACCGAGATGAAAATAATAATAATAATAATAATAATAATAATATCGAATGATTACGATTATGACGTTGATTAACGTGCGCGAATGTTTTTTTTTGTTTTTTTGTAGGAATTTTCACGTTGACGTCATGGAAAAAAAGAAGAAAAAAAAATACCTGAAAGGCTTTGCCCAAACAATAAAAAAGAGAATTCAAACGAAGGAAAACGTTAAGGAAAATTGGGGAAAATTTTTTTTTTTAACAAAATAAAAAAAAACGAAACAAAGAAAAGAAGAAGAAAAAGAAACGAATCATCAGGTAAATATTCAGACGTCGCAAATTTAAAAAAAAAAATTTTAAATTGTTTGTTATTGATACAAACGACAAACAAACAACTTTCGTCATCTTAAAATGTTTCTTAAATAATATTTTTCCTTTGTTAAAAATATATATAAATTTATTATTATTATTATTATCTTATATTGGATTTTATCCAAAAAGGTGTAATTTTAGACATCACTTCCTTTCCCCTCTCCTCCCCCCTCGTTTCTGACCTTTGCCCCCTTCCTCCTCCCCCTTCTCTCTTTCACGCAGACAGTTGTAAAAAAAAAAACCTAAACCGTCACTTTTTCTTAACACCCACGAAAATTACAAATTTCGATGATCGTTAATTGTTTGTCCTTACGAAAAAAAAAACTTAAAATTCTAGAATGTTCTATAATAATAATAATAATAATAATAATAATAATAATAATTTTTTCTTTTTCTTTTACAGAGAGTTTTGTTTACGGATAAGAATAAGAAAGAAATAAAAGACGACACTCGATTAAAAAAAAAAAAAAGAAACGACAGCAGTAGAAGAAGAAAAAGAAGAAGAAGAAAAAAAAAGAAAAATTTTAACCTCCCTTTACACACGCAAAAAAAAAAAAAAAAAACTAAAAACAAAATGTCGGACGTTCAAAAAAAAAAAAAAAAAGAAAAACGATACATTCGAAACCGTTGTTAAGTATTTGATATAGTAGACCATCTATTATCATTATTACTCTTACTATCTATTTTATTGTCTCCATCTATTCATTGTCTCACGAATTTATAAATATAAAATAAAAACAATAAAAAAGAAAAAACCTTTAAATGTATTTTATTATTATTATTATTATCATCAATCACTTCGAATTTTCTTTTTCCTCGAAAAAGCGGAAACAAACTTTTTTTAAACGTTTTCGTACAACTTTTTACCTGATACCACCACCACCACTGCCATCATCATCAACACCGACAACACCACCACCACCACCGTCATCAACACCCTCACACCACCGCCATCGTCACCACCACAACCACCTACATCACCATCAACACCGTCATCACCACCACCACCACCATCATCATCAACACCCTCCTCACCACCACCACTACCATCATTATCAACACCGACACCACCGCCATCGTCACCACCACAACCACCTTCATCACCATCAACACCGCCACTACCACCGCCATCGACATCAACACCGTCATCACCACCACCACCATCGTCATTACCATCAACATCACCACCACCGCCATATTTTATTAACCTTTTACGTTTATTAAAAAAAAATTAAAATTAAAAAGAAACAATAATAATAATATAAATTTAAAATGTTTATTTGTCGGTTGTTGTTTGTTGTCGATTGTTGTTTGTTGTCGATTGTTGTCCTTTCGCGAGAGTGAATGAACCCCTAACAAAAATCACATAAAAGGATATTTTTACGATTTATTTATACAACAATAAATTTTAAACGTTACGATTTACACACATTTATACGTATTTACGTTAACCGTCGGATTGTATATTATTATCATCATTATCATCATCATCATCATCATCAAAATGATTTCTATTTGTTCTTTTTTTTTTTTTTTTTTGAATTTAAAGAAAAAAAAAAAAATTTTCCACGCGAACATTAAGAAAATTATTTTATTTATCGGATAAAAAAAAGTCATTTATTTATTTTATTTTTTTATTTATTTATAAAAAAAAAAAAGCAGAAGAAAAAAAAAAAAGAAAAATCTTATAAAAGTTTAACAAGTTTTCTTCTTATTTATTTTCCCGGGATTTATTGAAAAAAATAAAAAATTTCAGTGACGACACGTTTACAAATAAATAAATAAATAAAATGTTTTTCTTTTCTTTAACTTTTTTTTTTTTTTTTTCAAATTTAATAACTTTTAAAAAATATTTCAAAAAATTTTTTTTGACTTTGCCCTTATTGCGGACGAGAGGCATAATGATGATAATAATAATAATAATAATGTAATTAGTGACGTGTCACGTTAAGATACGACGACAAAACTGTCACCCCGTCTAAAACATCCTTTTTAGGGAAATATATTTAATTTAAAAAAAATGCACACGCATAATTACGACAAAAAAAAAAAACTAAAAATAAATTTGACCTTGATTTAACCTTGAACTTTAAACCTTGAACTTTTTTTTTTTAAATTTACACCACCACGTGATTTCGATCGATACCCGGAAAAAAGAAAATGTAGAAGAACAACACGATGACGATCATTTTGAAATAAGGCACACAAAGAATTTGGCATGCACTATTCTACCGGATGGCATACCTTTAACCTTCCTTAAGAAATTCTAAAAACACATGAAAATGATGACGATGATGATGATGATGAAAGGCAGGAGTATTGGTGTATAAGGTGTGGAGGCTAGGTACAGAGGATGTTTTAGGGGCGGCAAGTTTTGGGATTAGATTTCTCAAGGCGTGTGTTAGGGGTGAATCTTAAACTTGGATGCCTTGGGGGAGCCCGAGGTAGCCAGGTTGGATCCAAACAGGGAAAAAATTTGGACAGAGTTGAGCGTCGTGAGTTCAAATCCTGGGAGTGGGAGTTCGATTTTACCTAGTCCAAACAAGAACAGACCTGTGCCTACATAAAGGGATAAGTGACCTAGCAAAATTCGAGGGGGTGAAACCTCGGACATCTTTCTCTCCGGAAACTCGAAGACTCTATGGGAGAGGCAGGAACGATGGTAACAGATCGGTATAACCTCTCAAAGGATAAAAAAGGGGAAGTAAAGTGGGATCTTTCTCCGATGGGATTCCCTCTCTCGCGAGTGTGAACCTGATGGTTCTGGTTTAGGGGAAGGGTTGAGGCTGACATACAGGTTGTACTCCCGCGAACGCCCCTCCTTTCGGGAAAAACCAGGAGTATTAGTTGGGTAGGTGCTTAAGCTGAGTCCTCCCACACTCTCCCCGCTACCGAGTGGGAAAGTTAACGCGAAATGCATTTTTCCTGGTTCAAAAAAAAATGATGATGATGATGATGATAGAAAAATGCAAAGAAAAAAAAAATTCGAACGAGTTTAATTGATTTGTAACGTTTGAAAATAAATTATTTAAAAACTAAATAAAAAAAACACGCACGCACGCACGCAAAGAGAGAGAGAGAGAGAAAATTTAAAATTGAAATATATTGTTAGTAGGAGTAATAATAATATTTTAAAGAGGAGGCACGCGTCAAAATCACAAAAGCAATGAAAAGAAAAGTAAAAAAAACGGGGGGGGGGAAGGGGAGACCCGGTTAAAGTAAAAAAAAAAAATTAAAAAGAAACCTCCTCCTTCTCCTCCTCCTCCTCCTCCTCCTCGTCTCATTTTTAAATAATAAAATAATTTTTCAAGTGTAAAGATAATTTAAGAAATCCGTTTAACGAAGAACCCAACACATTCGCACACACACACACACGCACTCACGCACTCCGCACGCAGACACATACACACACACAAAAGACTTTAACGAAATCATTTCAAACGTTTTTACGGGAGGAAACGACGTTCGAGTGATCAAAACGTTTTTTAAATTTTTTTTCTCACAATTTAAGTAAAAAAAATCACACGCACGGACGCACGCACGGACGCACGCACCGATTTATTATTATTATCACTTCGCGTACGCACATACAACATTTATATTACACGCATGTACATTTTCGATGCATCGAAATTTCGATCGTTGTCGTTGTTTTTGTTGTTGTCGTTGTTGTCGTCGTCGTCGTCGTCGTCTTCGTTGTCTTCGTTGTCTTAGTCGTCCGTTATTTAAATCGATTTATCGATTATTATTATAATTATTATTATTATTAATAAAAAACAATTTTTGTTTTTTTCTAATTAAAATTTTCGAATCAAGTATGAATAATCGCGTTCGCGTCGTTATTTTTAATATTTTTTCTTGTCTTGCATTTGTGCTCGATTGAAAATTAAAACAAAAAAAAAAAAAAGAAAATGGCGGTTCGTAATTTTTTTTTAACACGGTGAGAAAAAAAGTGAAAGTTTTATAATATAAGGGAAACAAGTAATAATAATAATAATAATCAAGGATTAATGACAAATGGGAATACAAAGAACCGGATTACTCATCGAATCTGCAACTGTAGTATCAGGTAATAATAACAATAATTAATTAAATAAATTTTAAATTTTCCATACCTGAAATTAACGGTCCTGCCGATTACGAAGGTTCAAACGATAAACTTTTTTCAACGGTAATTTTTGTGCGTGAGTGCGTTCGTAATTATGACGTCGATTATGTGAAGAAATGATGACGTCGAGAGATGCTGCGAAAAAGAGAAAAAATTATTTTTATTAATTATTATAATCGATAAATGGTCGTTACGTCATAGAAAAAAATTTTTTTTTCGGGAGGAGGAAGAAGAGGGAAGAGGGTGGAGGGGAGGGGAGATGGTTGAAGTGTAAATTTAAAATTTGTTTTTTTTTTTTTTTTGCATATTTTGATGGTTTGTCAGTCAGATTTGGCAAAACGTTTTGGTCAAAACTTTCTTCTTCTTCTTCTTCTAGAA